GTGTGTGTGAAACAAAGCGACGGCGAGTCGTACGTCTTCACACTAGAGTTTACGGTACGTTAAATACAGGTGCGCTGCGCATCCATTTAGATTAACTGAAAAACAGCACAGATCGCTTGGCGGAGAGTGAAACTGATGCGCTCAGTCAGAGAGTGTTCGGCGAGAGAAAATATATCTGAGCTAAACTTATACTTAGCCTCCAACTCACACACTGGCGAGTAAAATCTGAGAATTTATTAGCAATTGGCTAATATTAGACATAATTTAGTCGCCAGAGTGAAGATTTAGTCGCATATGCGAGTGATTTACTCGCAATGTAGAGGGTTGATATATACTATATGATTTACAATTGTGTCTGTTTCATCTCATTAGAAACCTCAAGACCAAAATGAGGACAGTCTCCTGGACATCTTCAATTTTTGGGTGAAGTATGTACAAGCTGTGTCTTATAATTGTTTGAATGGCAACTGTAGGTCACTCTTGGTCATATACCTGTAGTTTTGCTGTCATTTCCACTGTTGGCTTGTACTTACTATGATTTGCCTGCTCAAGGTCCCCAGAAACCAAAAAGCGCAAAGCGGTCACCAGTGGCCCTGCGGCGGTCAACGGCCCATCGGCCAAGAAAGCAAAGAAAGATGCGGTGAGGTCAAGTAGTGAGGACTCCAGCAGTGAAGAGGAAGCTGCAGCACCTGCCAAGAAAGTCGTACAAGGTACAGAGCTGTTTTTCTTATGCTCAGCTCACCAAGGCTGTATTTACTTGATCAAAAATACAATACAATCAGTATTGTTGCAAAATATTAGGTAACACTTTATTTTAAGGTGTCCTTGTTACACATCTTACATGTACTGTTATTATAATAACAATAAAGTATACATAATTACATGCAAGTAGCACTAATACAAACCCTAACCATATAGTAAGTACATGTAGTTAATTAATATTACTCAGTACTTAAATATATTATTATAAGTTATATATTTCTTTTAATATATTTTAAAATGTAGTTTGTTCCTGTCATGGCACAGCTGAATATTCAGCATCATTACTCCAGTTTTCAGTGTCACATGACCCTTCAGAAATCATTTTAATATGCAGATGTGGTGCTCAAGAAACATGTCTTAATGTTGAAAATGTTCTTAAACGCATCCTTCCTGAATAGAAGTATTAATTTCTTTAAAAATCTTACTGACCTCAAATTTTGTGCAGTAGTGTGTTTAAACACTCCATTATTTAACTTTGATATTAATTACTTGGTATTTAACTGTATTTGACAGCGAAAGCTCCTGCTCCTAAGAAGCCAGCAGCTGTAGCTGCTAAAAAGAGCAGCAGCTCTGAAGACTCCAGTGACTCGGAGGATGAAGCTCAGGCTAAAACAGCAGCAAAGGTCAGGAAGCTGCATGCTGTTTATGTTTCTTTAAAAATCTTACTGACCTCAAATTTTGTGCAGTAGTGTATGTTTAAACACTCCATTAAGTATTTAACTTTGATATTCATTACTTGGTATTTAACTGTATTTGACAGCGAAAGCTCCTGCTCCTAAGAAGCCAGCAGCTGTAGCTGCTAAAAAGAGCAGCAGCTCTGAAGACTCCAGTGACTCGGAGGATGAAGCTCAGGCTAAAACAGCAGCAAAGGTCAGGAAGCTGCATGCTGTTTATGTGAGCGTGTGTGGTATGACTCTGCTAGGATGCCTCTTCCTGAATCTGGGTCTTGTTTGTTTGGTGCACAGAAGCCTGCAGCTGTGAAACCTGCTGTTCAGCCTGCAGCAGCAGCCAGGAAGAAAGACACCAGTTCCAGCAGTGAGGAGTCAGACTCTGAGGAGGAGCCGGCCAAAACTCCAGCAACAGGTGAGCTGAAGAGAGCAGCTGTCTGTCATGAATGAAACGGCTTCACAGTCTTTTCAGCCACACAGTATCATTATTTCTGTGTTACAAGCATTCAAATCACAGAGGTACTGGGATAAAAGTTTATAGTTCAGATATCAACGGTGTGTACAATAGCGATTAAAATAGAGTAAATCACCTTTTGTAAGTAATTTGACACTTCAAATGAAGATTTATCGATTACATTGAGTACGTTTACATGGACAACAATACTCCGATTTTAATACGATTAAGACAATACTCTTGATTAAAGGGATAGTTCACCCAAAAATGAAAATGTGATGTTTATCTGCTTACCCCCAGGGCATCCAAGATGTAAGTGACTTTGTTTCTTCAGTAGAACACATATGATGATTTTTAACTTTAACCGTTGCAGTCTATCAGTCGTATAATGCATGGCAATGGTAACAAAATCTATGAGAGTAAAAAAAACATGCACAGACAAATCCAAATTAAACCCGGCGGCTCGTGACGACGCATTGATGTCCTAAGACACGAAACGATCAGTTTGTGCCAGAAACCGAACAGTATTTATATCATATTTTACCTCTAATACACCACTATGTCCAACTGCCTTGAGCGCGTGCACGGTATCCGGTGCGTGAGGTGTGTACGTGCTCTGG